GGTGTCCTCATCAAGAAAATTGGTCAGCACACATATTTTATTCAATTCTAGGAGAAAATGCGGTGGAACAGTGATAAATAAATGCCCAAATGTAAAGGAAATGTTTGAATCCCAACTATCACTGCACCAGACTCAAATCAAAGAAGTAGAAAACACACAGAAAGTTGAGAGGCACTAATTCACCACTCAGGCCAATCCCTTAAGAGCTGGACTTGATCCTTGTGGGTCCCTTCCAACCCAGAATAATCTGTGGGTGTGATTCTGTGTAACTCCAGCTCTCACTACCATTGCTTTAACACTGAGGAGCCTAAAGACAGCAATTGCTTGGGATGTATTCTAGGCTGTATCATTGAAATTCGCATTTTTAGCTGTGTAACCTCTCCTTGCTGTATCCTAAACTTTGCTGGCCAGGGGTTGTGCACTGGAGGACTGAAGCCAAGCGTGTTGCGAACAGAAAATCTGTGTATTGGTAGTGCTTGAACGCTGGTCCCAGGCTGCACCTGGCCCTGCAGCCAGCCCCGTGCTGTTTATCTTCAAGTGATTTATTCTGCATGTTTGCCCTTGCCACAGCCAAGCTCTCAGCTCACCCTGCTGTAACTGTGCTCCCTCACACCTTCCCCGCTGAAGCACAGGCAATTCTTTTATTGCATCTCAGTTTGCTCACACTGTCTGGGCTGTGTTGCTTCTGCACAGCCCCCCAGGCTGCCTGCAGCCACACGCTCCCACTCTGTGCCACAGCACTTCCCAGTCTGGGAGTTATTTGAATTTTAGGGCACTGAGTGGCAGAGGCAGGTCCTGGGGCATCTGTCAGTGTAAACTCACATTTACTGAGTTCCTTTCAGCTCTCAGCACAGGAACATTTGCTGTTTGGGAAGACGGGATTTTGGAGCTGCATCCAAAGTTGCAAAATATTCAGGAGTTTTTAACTGGCTTGGACAAAACTGCCACAGAGCTGCAGTCTTATGTTAACCAACTTCTGAAACATCCTTCAAAATACCAAACAGCTTCTTTCCCTTTGAAAATAGCCAAATCAATACATCACAAAATACCTTGGATTTTGGAATATTCCCTAAATATTCTTCCTTCTGGATCTCTGCAAAGTACAAAGTCTTGAGCAGAAGAATAGAGACGTTAAATTACACCTACATTGCAGAAAATAGCATTTCAGCCTATTTTTGGCCCTTGATGCTGCCTGCTGGCCAGCTGTGACCCATCCTGTGAATCCAACACGACCACCTCTTGCTGCTCTACAGAATTACACAAACTCCAGCATCCCAGAAGGGATTTTCCAGCTCATTTCAGTTTGCATACTATTTTTATTGCATCAACTTCAAGGACACAAATAAAATTATCTAACTTGCAATAAGTTGTCATTGCTGGCACAGTAAATTTTAGGAAAATAATAGTTATGAAGGGAAAGTGTAATAAATACTCAAGAGCATCATAAGCAGCTTTTAATCATTAAAGCAGATATTCAGAATAGGTGATACAAACACTATCTACTGATAACATCTGCAAGAATGAACAACATGAAGTGTCAGAGATGGCATTATACTCCCCAGAATAAGGACTGGAATATTCAATTACTTAAATTAAAGAACAAAACTACTCATAAGAAAGTGCAACTAAGCAAAGAATTCAAAACAAAGTAAAAAAAGGCTTCTCATTAATGACTTGGGAGAAGCCCAAGAGAGGAGCTTTCTGTTCTCAGGAAATAGCACAGCTCCAATTTTGCTCAATGGAGTCATCAGAAGTTCTGCTACAGATGTTTGTGATTTCACCCTATCAAGACCAGAAACAGTCAGAAGCCCTAAAAAAAGTTCTGTTTGCCATTCTTTTAAGCCCTGTCTGTTTTCTTGCTTCCTAACTCTTCAGTTTTGCTCACACTCTACTTTTACAAGGCTGTGTGAGACAAGAGGATCCCCATCTCCCACATGAAAAGGGAAGGGATCAAAATCCAAGAATTAAGTAGAGGGAGTTCTGACATACATAAAAAAACCCAGATTTTCAGCTACTACATATTTTCCCAGGCTGTACTATGATGTGTTATTCTTAATTACATCAGATTCATCTTTTTCAGACAACAATATGCTTAAGGCAGCCATACCTTCAATAGCTGTGAATAATATTTGTTCTTGTGGCCAGCACTTAGGAGCTCTACCCTTTATGGTATATAATGCTTCTAGTTAGATTTAAAAATCAGATCATGCAATTTCAAACTAAAAGGTGAAAAATTAGCAATGGTGGATTTTTTAACTCAGCCATTGGTCTCTCTATTTCCAGAGAGCTCAACCTCCCCCAGTGCAAGCAGATACTGAACAGCTCCTTGGTCCTGAACAAAGCTTACATGTCTGCACAAAGAGATAGCAAGGGTAATATTTCCTTTACATTCCTCCTAAAAACCAGGCAGAAACCTGGTAAATCCAGCATATTATACAGGGCTGGAAAACAAGCTGTAGGTCTCCCACAAAGCAATGAAAAAAATCTTGAAAGTGACTGGCTATACCAGAGGAAGGGTTTGCAGGGAACAAGATAAGATTCTTTAGAAAATAATAGGTAAAAGAAGAAAAAAAAACTCATAGAAAAGACAGCAAAAGCAGGAAGAAAAGTAAGAGGAGAATGGGAATACAAAAAGTACACAAAGTATGCCATCAGAGATGACACAGGTACGAGCAGATCCTGCCTTGGGCAGGAACACAGAGACTGAGCAGGAGTGCCTGGGTCCCTCCTGGCCTTGCTGTTCCGTGTTTAACTTCAAGAGAGCTTTGAGCAGGGAGAGGCTTCAAACCCACCAGCACTGGCAGCCATGGCCTCAGGACATACCATTCCCCTCCTGTGCTGCAGCAGCAGCCAGAAGGGCTCACGCATGCAGCGTGCAGGCATCACTGGAAGGATTCTCAGGGCTGGGAACTGCACCTTGCAGTCCTACGTGTGCATCCTGAGCTGGAAACGGAGCACATTCTGCACAGCAACTCACAACCCCACTCTCTTCCTCCACACCTGACTCCTGACAGTATTTCTGTCAGTAAAGGGTAGCCTTTCATGAAAGCCAGAGCAGCATCCTCATCACGTCAAGGACACCAAGTACTTCAATTACAAGAACTATAAAAATCATCAACATACTGTGAATTTTATTCGTTACATTTGTCAGCTCTATTACTGATACTCTGCTACGTATTAATAGAAAAAAGAAATATAGTCTTGACATTAGAAATACAGACTTCATTTCAGCAAACACCGGATCCTTTGTCTAATGTATTTACCAGAAGAATAAACTGTAAATAAGTCTTGGGAAGCCAAGCCTTCAAAGCCTGCATAAGACAGCAAGTAGATCTCAACTATAAACAGAATTCCTACATAAAAATAGCTTCCTCAAAATCCAGTAATGCAAAACGTTTCAGTAAAAGTAAATAAAAATCAAATACCTGCTCTAAATCACTACCAGAATCCTGATAACTGCAGCACGTGATATCAATATCAACCACTTTCCTGAAAACTAAATGATCTATTGGCATACATGTTGAAAATTCACACAGCCCCACTACTCTTCCCCACATAAAACTCCTCAGGCAGCCATGGCTATTTGACTTCTAAAACGTAATTAGTTGATTATGAGGGGTAGCTCTGTTTTAGACTGTAATTCATCCACCATCATCAATCTCTACCACAGAGTGACAAAACCTTGCTTCTACTTTGACAGCCCGTGCATACAGCTGTTTTCACACTTCCGAATGAAACACACAGTATCTTTCCTCTCTTAAGTACCATCGAGTCTAGAGAAGCGAAAGCAGGTACTTGACATTCTTGGGCCACCACCAGCAGCGTCTGCTGTGTTTCATGCTCCATCTCGCCTTAAATAAGCTGAATTTTATTTGAAATGAAAAAAAAAAAAAAAAAACAGTCAACACGAAACTTACTTCAGAGTGTAACATACTATACCACATTTGCAATTCACAGAGCAGATACAGAAAAGCTGCGGATTTGGACCAGATCTTTCACACTTCGCCGTTGTGAATCACTCCAGCCAAACTTCAGACCACATTCGTTTCACCATCTGCGCGAACCATGTTAACTCGGCAGCTCAGTGTCCAACAGCCACATCACAGATTTGGGAAGTGCCACTCTCACATCGCAAACCCATGTCCCAGAGCCCTGCCCCGGCCGAGGAGCGGCACCGAGAGGAGCTGCCTGACCTCTCACTCGGGCACACTGCCGCTCCACCTGCACCGCGCAGCGATCACGGCAACACCGATACTTTCTTTATCCTGACACAGTCATGCAGGAGAAAACATTCTGATGAATCGCCGATAAAACCAGCAGACCCCGCGGACTTACAGGCAGGTGGTTTCCCAGCAGTTAAACACCTGCGCTCTTTTAACGAGCAGCTCGGCAGAGCCCCGAATGCCCATGTTCCTGCCGCTCCCTGCGTGCGGAGCCTCCTCCGTGCCGCTGTCCCCGCAGCCCCCCGCACGGCGCTCCGCAGGCGACAGCGGAGCCGGCGCGGTGCCCCGAGCCGCGGGCATCCTTCTGCTCCGGCACCGGAGCCGCCCCGGAGCCCCCCGCCTCCCTCCCGTCCCTCCGCCCGGGCCGCCCCGGGAACTTTGCGGCCGCAGCCCCGCTGCCCCGCCGGGCTGCCCCGCTGCCCGAACTCACCATAAAGAGGCGAGCGGAGGCGAAGGGTCGCGGCGCTTCTCCCGCGGCCCCGGCAGGCGGGTGGCAGCGGGACGCGGCTCCCGCCGCCGCCGCAGCCCCTTCCCGCGGGCAGCGCCGCCGCCCTCGCTCACCGCCGCATGCCGCGCCCCCCGCCGCCGCCCGGCTCCCCCGGGCTCGCCGCGCTCCGGCAGCGGGGCCCCCGCCCGGCCCGGCCCCGGGGCCGCGGGGAGAGCAGGGGGCGACAGGCGGCTCCGCTCCGCTCCGCTCCGCCCGGGCGCGGCCGGCGGGAGCCCCGCGCCGGCCGGACTCGGAGCTCGCGGGGCGGAGGCGCTGCCGCTCGCCAGCCGGCGCGGAAAGTGGCTCGGCGGCGGGCGGGCGGAGGTGACCTTCAAACCCGGCGGGGCGGGGGAGAGCGGCGGGGGAGCCCCAGCGGCGGGGGCGGCGGCGGGGGCGGGATGCGGTGCGGCCCGGGGGGAGCGGGCCCGGGGGAGCGGCGCTCCCGGCTCCGGAGGCTCCGGAGGCGCGGCCCCGCCCGGCGCTGGCGGCCGCGCGGCGGCGCCCGGGAACCCGCGGGGCCCGAGCGGGGCCCGCCCGCACCTGCGGCCGCTCCGGGGAGGGCACCGGGGATGGGGATGGCTCCGGGGATGGGGATGGCTCCGCGGGATGCCCGCGGCCAGGCGCTCCACCGACCCGGAGCCTTCCCGGGGCACCGGCGGCGCGGTCGCAACTTTGCATCGCCGGGGCTCGTCCCGGAGAGCTGCGCTCTCCCCCAGCCCGAGCGGGCAGCGCTGCCGCGGGAGGCGAACTGCTGATGGAAACGATGCCCTTGGCGATCCCCGGCCATCTCTGCCTCCCTTCCTTCCTCGAGCCCAAAGGAATTGCAAGAATTCTGATGCTCACCTAAAGAGAAGAGCATCGCAGCAGTCCTAAAGGCATGAACTACTGTTAAATGAGGACGACAGCAGCTACTGGCGAGAAAGTTTGGGGGGAAAAAACAAACATCAAGACCTGTCAGAACACTGCCTTGTCCTTCTCAATACCTTAAGTATTAAGTCTGTAGTGATCAAACGTTTTTGTGCTGCTCGACCTTCAGCTACAATAAATTAATGCCCCTGAGACTTACTCCAACATGTAACTGGTATCAAATACAGATGAGGAGTGTGAGGATCAGATAGATGTGCTGCCTTCTCTGGGGTAGGAGTAGGAACTTGTTTTAAGCATTGAGATGGAAATGGAAAGCAGTTAACAATCAGGTGATAAAGAGGAGGCAAGCTTTAAATCATAGGCGTGTGGCCTTAAAAAAACTTTATATGAATAATCTCCCTATAAACTTTTTCATCTGTGCAGAAAATAAACACAGCCAAGTCCTCATAAATTGAACTGCAGTTCGCACATTGATCATGTACAGAAGTACCTCAAAAGCACATATCTGTATCCCTCTGCCTCTCCTGACAGATTTGGGGCTTGGCCTATTTCTGCTGCTATTTTAAGGCCCAGGGTGTGATCCTGGATCCCCGAAATACGTAACTCAGCAGAGCAGAACTGCTCAAGAAGGTTCCTTTACCAAGGCACACCAGTTTATGAAGCAGGATCATTTCACACAGTAACTTCAGAATTTATCATTCCTCATTAAACATGAAGCAGTGTTCAATGGCTGGAAAATTTTACTTCACCTCGTTAAAATCTGACATTACTGAGAGATAAAAAGTTACTCAAAGATTCATTTTCAGGATGAAAACTCAAACTATCAAGTTATCCCAACAGATTCTCTCAAAATGTATGTCCCACTCTCTAGTCTGATCCCTATGAAGTTCATCTAAATATCCTTGGATAGATTTTAAAGCCATCCTGTGGCTTTCCTTCATTTTTCTTTTCAGCCTTCCAATTCACTCCAAAATCAACACAGAGAGGGCAATGGGAGGCTTATGTCCAACAAATGTAAATTGGACGTCAAAATATTACACTGAAGTTCTCTAAATCACTAAAAGATTCAAGTTGGTAACTGATTCCTCTGCAGTTCAAGATATTTAAAGCCATATTTACTAATCCCTTTATGAGAAAGTGATACTGCTAGAAGGTTAGCAAGTAGAAATAAGGCAACATTTCATCAGCTCTTCCTTAATTTGTATATTTAGGCCCTTTAATAAAATAATTTTCAACATTTTGATTAAATATGACTGACTGCATCGATAGGTTTGCCATATGGTACAATACCTCCGGCTTTATCAGCAGTTTTCAAAGACTGAACTAGTGAAAAAAAAACATCCACCCTTTGATGACATATCTGATTTAGTATGAGGCAAACTTTCTTCCGGGTGAAATTGTTGCCATTAGGTGATCTAGGCTAAATGCTGGCTCACACAGAGGTGACCACTGAGTGACTCAGAGGAGTGAGATTCTCCTGCCCATACACTGGATGACCATGAAGCCCAGGGCTATGAAACACAACAAGGAAGGAAAAAACATCCAGTGTCTTCTTCCCATGTGAAGCAGCCCAGAAATCCTTTCTCTTCTTCAAATATGTGACTTTCAGGGCAGCACTATTGCAAAGATTTTTAGGTATCTCAGTTTCATTCCAAACCTGATTTGTAGTCTTTCTTTATCCACTCACCTGTCTGTACATAGCTGGCAGTCTCCAGAATGAAGAATTTTAAACTATTAAAATTAATTTAAACTATTAAAACTATTTTAATGTAAAATAATTTAAAATATTTTAAAACAATAAGCAGCCAGAGCTCACACAAATAAGCTAAAGCAAAATCCTTCATGAAAGAACAGAAATCTCATGAACTAGACATTATAAAAAGTTTTCTTTAGGCTCTCGAGCATTCCCGTTGAATAGCGAATACTCACTGGAGTGTTGAGAACTACTCACAGGATTAAAACTAAATCAGGTGCAGGTGTTGCTTACTTTGATCTGTGCTTGATTAGAGAATCAGGTGTGTGCTAAGTGACTGGATGAGAGCTTGTCTTTTGGAGTCTCAACACCTCCATACTCTCCTTTTACCAACCCTGTCAAAAAGGTTCCCTTGGCTTGTTTTTCACATCTGCCTTCCCTTTGTTCCCCTCACATGAAAGAACCCTGAGCTGCAAGTCAGATCTTTCTTAAAAAAGCTCCAAACTTTGCTGTCTGTATGGTACAGAGGCTCCCAGCTGGGGTTAAAGTTCTGCTGGAAGAAATAACTTTGGATGAGAAGAAAGGAGCAGAGAGGGAAGCCAGCATCAATCTCACATGGCAGAGCAGGGAGCAGCACCCAGATATTTTTCTGTTTTCTGTTCCAGAGCTCCAGCATTGCAAAATCTCCTTTCCTAAACACAGTGAATCCAAATGGACCTGCCTGTGCATCTCTCCCACAGGAACCACCTTCAGAAAGGTATCTTGCTCTTTATTCACCTTTGGAATAAACAGAGCATTTAAAGCATTTGATAAGAAATAATCTTGTTCATTCCACCCCAAAGTTGTAATTGTGTAAAGCTTCAATTCTCAGTCATTTCTGTAGGAAATACTTACAGAGAAAACACACAAACTTAAATATAATTGTCAAGTCATGCACTTCAAAAGTTGATTCAGAGGAAGACACTTTCCAATTTAACGTAAATTATCCATGGCAAAAGAAAAAAATAAAGGGCAAATAGCAAATGGTTCCATTGAAATACAATGTTTTTAAGACATTCCTTTAAGACATTCCTGGTGAGGGACTGATTCTTAAAATAATTGTTAAAGTTTCTTTTCTGAATAAAAGCCTATTTAATGTCTTCTTAAATTTGGAAACCCTTCCTCCTTTATAGTGAAATATTTTCTGTATTTATTTTCAAATTTGGGAACTGGTGTGAGGTTGTTCTAACCAGGAGATCTCAATAACATGGATCTGTAGTATATAGGAGAGGAGTTGGAGGTGAAAGAGGATTTACTGAAGAAAATAATTGTTCTGAACAGCAGATTAAGTCAGTGTATCAAAAGAAAAAAATCAAGAGAAAAAAGGTAAAAAAATATATTTAAAGTCTTCAAATATAAAGTTTCTGTGAGAAGGTATAAACAGATATCTTCTATAAGGAAGATAAAAATAGTGCATATATATTTAATGCTATAAAAATTCATATAGTATTTGCAGCAAAGAATATCTCCAACACATCCACTGTGATTAATTCCTTCTGGGGGAGGCTGCTCAGGCCATTACCAGTGGGAAGGGAGCACAGAAACCATTTGCAGTAGAACTTGTGAGCTTCAGGTCAAATATTTGTGGTGGTGGCGACTTGTGTCCCAAATTTCAGTGCCACAAACACTTCATGATTCACCTTCAGAAAAAATCTGCATTGCTACAAAATTTGTAATAGTCCTTTGACAGCCAATCCTTTGGACACTGGCAGGAAATGTAGCCTTAATGATCAGGGGAAAGATGCTCTCTGGATTCTTGAAATTCATCCTAAAAAGGGCCCACAAACAGAAGGAGATGAACAAATCACCTTCAACACAAAGGGAACATGAAAAAAATATATGTACCAGTCTGTACATGTGCTGTGCTGATGGTGTGGGGGTTTAGTTTAACTTCAGATTTCTTAAATTCTTTTTAATTCTTGGCAATTTACATTGTCTTGAGCACAGTTTTATGGAGGGTGTGGATAAGGACATGGTGTGTGTATGTGTGGGGTTAAGTTAATGAATCTGGTTAGATTGAATTTGTCATTTGCTTGGGTTTTGTGTATCAAATACTGGCATCTGAATCGTTTAATGCTTTCATCTCCATGACAGAAAAAAAGAGTTGCTACCTTTTAAGTTCATATGATTCTACTCAGGAGAAAAATTTTGGGATATTTGGCCCATACTTTTAAGTTATTATTACATTTAGGTTTCAGATTTCAGTCATACATAATCAAATGAACTACATTGTCACAGAGATTTAACATTACTTAATTAGAAATTCATAGCTATTTAGTAAAATCTTTGAGTAGAAAGATAATACTTCTATTTTTAATGCCCTACTAGCAATAACTTCATGTGCTTATATCTACATATCTATAAATTCAAGAGTTTCCCACTTATTTGCCTGTGATAAAATGTTAATCTCTTTCCTTTCTCCAGGGACTTGTAATTTTCCTCTCCCCTGACTTTGACTTATAGCATATGTACAATTTCTCTCAAAGAAACATCTTGAAGAAGCAACTGCATGCCCTGCTCCCTGGCATCTCCTGATTTTTATCCATCTTCTTTATCTCCAGGTTATTTTGGGAGTTCCTTGGGATTGAAGGCTGCTCAGATAGGGCTGATGGCTCATTGCTTTCTCTGTGCTAAAAAGGTCAGGCTGCTCCAGGTGACCTTTCTGCTGGGAAAGCTGCAGGTCTGTGAGCTGCCTTTTTGCTGTCCCGTGTGAAGGGATTGCTCTACAGATTCAGCATGAACAGCTCTGTGCTTCCCTTGCTCTGGGAATTGGAAAACCCAAAACTGCCACACACACTGAAGGGTTTGAGCTGCAGCCTTGGGAGCAGCTTGGACTGATGTAAAAATACAATATACAGACATTAAGCAGAAAAATCATAAACTTATGTTGCTATAAGAAAGTTGTAAGTAAGAATATGCCTTAAGTGAGAAACTGCATTGATAAAATGGTGAACCCTACCCTGATGTAGGGGTGTGGTTGTATAGAGCAAGCTAAGGATTCAGAAATTATAAAAGAAGCATTTGTGTGTACATGTGATAGCAGCCCATTGGATAAAAGTATCTGCAGTGCAGAAAAATTCAGTAAAGGTGATAGGTCAGAAAAGCAAAATAAACTTTGTGGCAACTGTCCACTGTGTTAGAAAGTTCTATATTGCTTGTAACAAATAACTTGACTACTTTGAGCTATGGCCAGCTGCTTGGTCTCATGGCCTCTGAGACTGATGTTACTCTGAGCAATAAATCCTTCTTAGCCCAAAATTAGTCCCATGTCTTCATTAACAGCAGCAATAATGATACCTTACTGTTTTCACTTCAGTTTCCATTTAGGCAGAGCTCTGGAAGCGTTGAAAGGAATTGTTGGAAGCAATGACATCAGGCTTTTCTCCTTTGTGTTCGGGACAGCTGCTACTGAAATAGCCAGGGCAGGACTCTGGAAGATTTTAACCCAGTGCCATCTCCAGCTGCCTCCTGAGGATGCCACCAGCCCCTTCCCATTTCTCATCAGCTCTCCACTGGTTTCCTTCCCTGTGCAGGACAACAATCCTGGATTTCCTTGACAAAGAGCTGCCAGACCCTCAGCTGTGAGCTCAGAGCCTGAGCAATTCCATGGGGCCAGCAGGGAGCAGGCAGCTCCTGGGAGCAGCTGTGTCTCTTAAAGGAAATAAATATTGCAGGTGCTGCACTGTGGGAATCTGTGGTATTGATGATCCCTAGGTTGTAGAAAGTCTCTGTCTGTCAGCCCCGCTGCCAAAGCAGAAGCCATAATTGGTCTGTGCTGGTTTCCAGGTTGTTTATTCTGTTTATCTCTCACATGTTCTGCTGCCCTGCCCAGCTCTGTCCTGCAGGGCAGCGTGTGGGGCTCTGCCCTCAGTGG